TTTTTTTTTTTTTTTTTTTTTGAGTTGGAGTCTCACTTCGTCGCCCAGGCTGTAGTGCAGTGGCACACTCATGGCCATCCCAGTGTCGACCTGCTGGGCTCAGACCATCCTTCCGCCTTAGCCTTCTAAATAGCCAGAACTACAGACACGTGCTACCACGCCCGGTGAATTTTTTGATTTATTATAGAGATAAGATCTCGCCAAGTTGCCCAGGCTATTCTCGAACTCGTGGGCTAAGGCAATCCTCTCACCTCGGTTTCCGAAAGTACTGGGATTACAGACTTGAGCCACCACACCCAGCTCCTGGGCCAACGTTTTTAAAACTAAGTATAACTTACATACTGAGAAACCATAAATTATAAGTGAAAATTGATGCCAAAGTAAATACATACCTATGCCCACCCCAAACCAAGAAATGGAACATTATTGGTACCCAAAAAGCCCCCCTTTTATGTCCCTTCTCAGTGACGATCTTGACTTCTATCCCCATAGATTAGTTTTGCCTGTTTTTGAACTTTATATAAATGCAGTCTTACAGTATACCTAATATCTGACTTCTTTTGCTAAACTTTATTGGTGCTGATGGCAGTAGTTAATTTTTATTCATTTACTATTCCATGTATGACTGTACCATAATTTAGCCATCCATGATCCTCTTGATGGAGAGTGGGTTGCTTCTATTTGGAGCCAGTATGAGTAAGCCCTTGGTAAATATTCTAACTTTATCTTTTGTATGTCTTCCTGTTAGTTATCTATCTAGGAATAAAATTGCTGGCTCATAGGATAAGCAGATGTTTCTCTTTAGTATTATGAAATTGTTTTCCAAAGTAGTTGCACCAGTTCACACTTTTCCCAGCAGTATCTGAGAGTTCTGGTTGTCCCAAGCACTTGGCATCGTCAGTCTTACTCACTAGAGCAATTCTGTTAGGTATGCAAGGCTTTTTTGTTGTGATTTGTATTTTCATTTTCCTCATACCTAATGAGGTTAAGCCCTTGTTCACATATTTATTGGCCATTTGAATATTCTTTCTTGTGACATACCTGTCCAAGATTTTCGCCCATTTTCCATTGATTTTCTGTCTTTTTCTTACAAATTTATTAGACCTCTTTGTATACTCTAGATAGGAAGCCTTTCTTAGGACTATGTATTACAGATCTTTTGTCCTGTTCTGTGGCTTGACTTTTCACTGTCTTAAAGGTGTTTCTTTTACTCAGTTCTTCTTTATGTCCTGCTTAAGAAATATTTGCCTATCCAAGATCCTGAATATGTTATATCCTAAGTAGTCTTCTATCATAATTCACATTTAGATTTTGGGGAAGGATGTCAGGTAGGGGCTAATCAGCCATATTTTTTTCTGTATGAATATCCAATTTGGCCCATTTCCTTTTATTGAAGGCCCACCCACTCTCTACTGCACTGCAGTATCATCTTTTTGATAACTCAAGACCCACATTTGCAGAGGTCTGTTTCTGGATTCTCTCTTTCTCTCCCATATGTCTGTTGTTCTTTCTTTGTATCAACTGGCTTTATAAATATGTATTGTCATTGGGGGGGTGTGACTCTTACAGCTTTGCTTTTCTTTATTTCAAGGATGCCATGGCCATTTTTGATCCTTTACATTTCCATATAAAGCTTAGAATTGCCTTCTAAATTTCCACCAAACAAGCAAACAAACAAAACCTGCAAGGACTTTATTGGGATCTTATTTAATTGGCATCTTTACAGTACTGACTCTTCCAATCCATGACCATTGTATTTTTCTTTTCATAGTTTAGTCAGATTTTTAATAGAAGCAATGTCAAATCTAGAAATTATCTTATTATAAACTCTAATTTTCTTTTCCTTTTGAAGGTCACTCAATGACAAAAATAATAGCAGTGGAAATTCAGCTTTGAACAATACCACACCTAACACACCAAGACAGAATGCATCTGCTCCCGTGAGAAAGCCAGGACCTCTGCCTTCTAGCTTGGATGACTTAAAGGTGATAATTCCAAGTAGAGCTTATGAACCCCTAAGTGCCACAAAAATGTAAATCATTTGCCAGATTAGTCTAGCAAGTCTGAGTAGTTTTCAACAGACATTCATCTTTACCAACAATATGATAATCTTTGAGAGGTACTTTTTTTTTTACTTCAGTTAAGTTTATTTTCAAACAACCAATAATAACCATCATTTACTGAGCACATACCTTGTGTGGTACCTTGCCAGTCCAGTTGGATTCCAGAGGCTGTGACTTTTTTTTCTTCCCTGCGCAACACCAAGTTTGGGAGAAACAAGTAAATGTAACATTAAGAAAATGAACTCTAGGGCCAGCCTTCCAGGTTTCTATCTCAGCCCAGCCTTTTATTATCTGTGGCAGTTTGGATGAGTGCTTCAACCTCTTTCTGCCTTGACCTCCTCATCTGTAAAATGGGACTAATAATAATATTGACACCTCATGGGGTCATGTGAAGGCTAGTTGAAAGAGTAAAGCACTTCCAACAGGGTCTTGCACATGGCAGCTACTCAGTAAATGTAACTATTATCATCATCATTATTCCTGATAATTTATCTCCTCTTTGACATAAAAGAGGAATTACCTTCGAAAACCCTTACTTTATCACCGGCCTCTCAAGTGCTTCTGGTCCTTAGTTGTATGTGTTTATGTTTGTTAAAAAGAAAAACAAATGGTCCCACTTTCAAATATGCAGTAACATGGAGCTGTCTGACAGTTTATCACAAAAGTGCACTGCAGACTTGTCAGGAAGTTGTAACACCAAGAGATCTGCTCTGTCTGTACCTCCAGGTATCAGAACTGAAGACAGAACTGAAGTTAAGGGGTCTGCCAGTGTCGGGCACCAAACCAGACCTCATCGAACGCCTGAAACCCTTCCAGGAAGTGCACAGCAGCAGCCTCACTGCAGGCGGTATCATGGCAGTGTCATCATCGGCTGTCATCACCAGTAATCCAGAAGTCACCATGGCATTGCCAGTTACAACACTACATAGCACCGTGACTAACTCAGTCTCCACTCTGAAGGCAGAATTACCGTCTGCCGGCACCAGCAACGTAGCCCGTGTGGAAAATGTTCATTCCCCTCTGCCCATCTCACCATCTCCCTCTGAACAGTCCAGTCTCAGTACTGATGACACAAACATAGCAGACACTTTCACTGAGATTATGACCATGATGTCTCCTTCACAGTTCTTGGGTTCATCTCCTTTGAGAATGGCAAATAATGAAGACAGCCTGAGTCCTACTAGCAGCACTCTGTCAAATCTAGAACTGGATGCCGCTGAGAAGGATCGCAAGCTTCAGGAGAAAGAGAAGCAGATTGAAGAGCTAAAGAGGAAACTGGAACAAGAGCAGAAGCTCGTGGAAGTTCTGAAAATGCAACTTGAGGTTGAAAAACGAGGGCAGCAGCAGCGGCCCCTGGAACTCCAGCCCAGTACCCCAGCTCATTCTGTCAACAAGTCAGATCAGAAAAACGGCGGTGCTGGCTCCTCTGTCAAGAACGAGGCCTCGCTCCCTGACTGCTCCAGCTCCAGGCAGCCTGTGTCGGTAGCCAGCCACTCTGTAGGCCAGCCTGTTTCTACAGGTGGCCAGGCCCTTGTTGCCAGAAAGGCTGTAGTTATCAAACAAGAGATCCCCGTGGCCCAGGCAGAGCAGCAGAGTGTCGTCTCACAGTTTTATGTGAGTTCCCAAGGACAGCCGCCGCCTGCTGTTGTTGCTCAGCCCCAGGCTTTACTGACCACACAGACTGCTCAGCTGCTGCTCCCGGTGTCCATCCAGGGCTCAAGTGTCACCTCAGTGCAGCTCCCAGTAGGCAGCCTCAAACTCCAGGTGTGAAATGTGTCTTCTAACTACCTTATCTTACAGCATGTGTACAGTGGAAGCTCTGCCAAGGATGAACCATACCCAGGCTTTCTCAAAATGCATGCGCAGCAAGCTACACAGTCATAGAAAGTGTGTGCATGTGTGGGAGAGCCATTTAAAAATGTGAATAGCCTGGGTAACATGGTGAGACCTGCAATAAATAAAAAAATTAGCCGGGCATGGTAGTGTGTACCTATAGTTCCAGCTACTTCAAAGGCTGAGGCAGAAGGATCACCAGAACCCAGCAGGTGGACGCTGGGGTGGCTGTGAGCATGCTACTGCACTTCAGCCTGGGCGATGGAATGAGACTCCAACTCAAAAATGTGAATAGCCAGAACTGTTTATATAAAGTAAAAAAAGGAAGGGTGCTTTTCTACTTTGTTTCCTTTTCCCTTTAATGAACACAGTATCATCTGTGTAGACGTTTTTTTTACATGCCGAAGACATCATCGCGTGATCATAGTTGCTGTTATTGAGCACTGTTTATGTGCATGGCCAGCATCAAGTACTTTCAGTGGCTGATTTCACTTACTCCTCCCTTCCTCCAGAAGATCCAGCTGATATAACCCATCTGTAGATAAGGACACTGAGGCCTAGAAGGAATGCTTAGTTAGTTGCCCAAGGACAGAGGTGGTATTGTTTGTTTGGTGTTTTGTTTTGTTGAGACATAGTCTCGCTCTGTTGCCCAGACTGGGGTGCAGTGACACAATCATAGTTTACTACAGCCTCAAACTTCTGGGCTCAAGCACTCCTCCCACCTGAGCCTCATAAGTAGCTGGGACTACAGATGTACACCACCACACCAAGCTAATTTTTAAAAAATTTTTTGTAGAGACAAGTTCTTGCTATGTTGTATGGGCTGGTCTCAAACTCTTGGCCGCAAGCAATCCTCCCACCTCAGCCTTCCAAAGTGCTGGAATTAAAGGCTTGAGCCATCACACCCAGCTAAACGTAGATCTTCTGACTTCAGAACTTTTACTCTTATGTGCATTCTTATGTTCTGCCTCCCATATTTAGTTCTTGAAAGGCATCAGTAATGTGAAGATGACTGAATTAAGGGAAATGTGACCACAAATTTAGGAGTGAGGATGTTATTGAAAGAGATGAGAAAATACTGATGAGCATGAAATTCCCTTTAGTGCCTAGATAACCTGTGTTTTTACCTTATTTTCGTGTAAGGTAGTTTTGGTAGGTTTTAACCACATGTGAACTACAAGTGAACAAGAAGCCATTTGGACCAGTGCTCCTCAGCCAGAGAGGAATCATCTTGTACCCTGGGGCTAGGAGGCATGGCCCAAAGACCCTTTGGCATGTGTAGAAATTCTAATCCTCCTGTCTTACTTTTGGGGTATCTGTGAAATTGATGGTCTACTCTATAACATATCTTTAAACAGTTTTTTGAGTCCGAATCTTCCATTGCCATTGTAGGAACATAAACCATGTTTTGTCCTTAGGCCTGTGTGTGCCTGGCACGTTGCTGGCTCTCCTCAGAGTGTGCATGTGCAGCCTGCAAGCAGGAATTTGAAGTGAGGTCTCATGAGTTTTCTTATTGCTAGTAGAAGTATTACAATACCTCACCTATTACATGTAGAACTGCCATAGGTTCTTGTGGAAGTTCTGAAAAATGCAACTTGAGGTTGAAAAACACTTTCTACTTTCTCAAAAATTTTAATTGAAAATCTTAGCTACTTAAAAAACTAAGAGCATGGAAGTAACTGATATGATATTTCCCTCTCTGGTTTAGAATTGTTAAGGTTCAGAATTATGTGCAGATGAATTGAAGTACGTTTCTGTAAACGTCGTCTTATTTCATTGTAGATAGGATGCCCAAGCGACTAGTTATTCTACATCTAAACTCTTGATTCTAACATTGATTTTGACAGTTAAATTGATTTTTAAAAATTCATCTCCTAGACTCCACCACAAGCAGGAATCCAGACTCAGTCTCAGATAGCGACTGCTGCACAGATACCCACTGCTGCCTTGTCCTCAGGCTTGACCCCGACTGTACCTCAGAAACAAGACACTTTCACGCAGCATGTGCTCAGTCAGCCTCAACAAGTCAGAAAGGTTTGTGAATACTACTGAGTGATAAACTGTGCGGGGGTTTGCTGTCAGGCGATCATCCATTCAACAAATGTCTTTAGGAAAGCCTACTTCTTGGGAAGCTCCTATTTACTCTTCTGTATGGTCCACCTCCCACAGAATGAACATTAGGTCAGATGCCATTTGGCTGCAGATTATCCAGTTATTTGGGATGGAGAAAGAGCTCTCTCTCACTAAAAGCAAGCTCACCTTAACAGTTCACCCCTTTTCCAAGTAAAAGTTTAAAGTGTTTTCTAATCCTCATATATTGAATTTGCTGAGTTTTAAAATTAATTTCTTTTCAAATTAAACATATTTTTGCCTTGAGTAACATCTTCATAGATACTGTATATGTATTTGTAAGGACTTGCCATAAATTCCACTTCATCACTTCCTAGTGTTTGGCCTCATGCAAAATCCACTTACTTTTGCTGAGTGTCATTTACCTCATCTTTAAAATGAAGGTGTTGGTCTTGGACGCAGTGTCTACACAAAATCTCCTACCAAAAAATTCTATTGTTAAATCACTCCAAGGTTACCAAAATTCCTCTTATCCAGCAGGTGGAGCTATGTGCACATCTACTTGCCAGAAAAATCTTAGCCTCAGAATAGGTCTATTTTAAATCTTGAAATCATTAATCGCGGAGTTATAATCTTCAACATAAAAGAACCTAGTAATTGGGTGTCCTGTGATCTGCCTCAGGGTAGTATAAACTGTCTGGGCTAAAACAACTTTAGGGACAGCAGCAACCTCTTGGGTCAGCAACAGTCACATTAACATGTGCTGTTTCAGAATCCCTCTGAGAAAAAATAATGGTTATATTATGAGTTTAGGGAAAGCTCAAATATCATTTTAGTGTAGTTATATGCTTAGTGTATGTTCAAATGTTAACACAATTTTGGGTTAAGGGAGGAAAGAGAAAAGCAATATGTAAACAGAATAAGTAAGGGCTTTTTCACTAAGTCTTAAAATGATAGAATTAGGAATCATTACCTCCAGTTTAAAGGAAGTAATTTTTTACCAATATAAGGAAATTCAACTTTTTCAAGTAGAAATATATTTGCAGAACTCATCACCCATATACATTGTACTGTTTAGACTATATACACATAAACTTTCATGCTTGAAAATATTTATGTATATTTACAATAAAAACATAGAGATGGTTTTTCAAAATATCAGTGGTATGTTAAATATTTTTATGAGAAAACCAAGTTCTGTGAAATATAGTTACAATATCAGCAGTATGGCCATATATTTGTAAAAGGCCTTAAAACTTGTGACTCTTGATGGGGTTGCTACATAGAACATTTTGGAGTTCCACAAGAAGAAATTCTCACCTCTTTCTGATGGGAAAGAAAATAGCCTCCCAGAAAGGGGCAGGTTTTAAATGGGGCCTTGCATGTATTTGAAGACATTTTCAAGAGATTGGAAAATTGAATGTGGTCACAACATGAATAAGGTTTTAGGTAGAAAGGAAAGAAAAGGTGCCAGGTAGTAAGAAGCTTACATACCAGCTAGAGATGAGAATTTTACCCCAAAGGCAGGAGAGCCGATGAGTGTGGTAGGGCTTGATCAGGCCTATGCTTTAGAATGTGTTGCAGTGGCAGGTCAGCAGGCTGGGAGGCTAAGCTAGGAGGCTGTGGTAGAATTCCATTGACAGAGAGGACCTGGATCAGGACAGCAAAGAACAGAGACCTGATTCAAGAGGCCTATCTGAGACATGTGAGTACTGAGGGTAGAAAGCACAGTTGACTGATGATTCCATTTACTTAAGCTTTAAAAAAAAGAAAGCAAAGCAAACCAAAAGACAGAACTAAGAATTATTTTCCCTCAGAGGCTGGGGTGGGGGGGGACACAAGAAAGTTCAGTTTAGAGAATATTAAATTTGAGATATTCAGGAGGCTGATCTAAATGTGACTTTGGCACTTGAGAGCAAGGTTGGAAAGAGAGAGATGGCGTGGGTTTATTAGCTTAATTGTGGCCATTAAAGCTGTGAGAGTAGATGATATCATCCTAGTAAGGAGTATAAGAAATTCAGCTATCATTCAGCTATATTATCAGGAAAATTATAAAGAGCAAACTCTGTTTTCCCATAAAGCACTGTCTGTGCTGCTGCCATCAAAGGCGAGTTACTGAGGGACCACTTGGGCTTAAAAATAGGAGTAGTCAAACCATGGTCTGTGAGCCAAATCCAGCCCACTGCCTGTTTGTGCACATAAAGTTTTATTGGCACACAGGCACACACACGTATCTGCATACCGTCTCTGGCTGCTTTTGTGCTACAGTGGCAGAGGTGAGTAGTTACAACAGCAACCATATGGCCCACAAACCATAAACTATGTACTTTCTGGTTCTTTACAGAAAAGTTTACTGACCCCTGCTCTAAAACATGGCTTTTGGCTAGGGAACGGTGGCTCACGCCTGTAATCCCAGCATTTTGGGAGGCTGAGGTGGAAGGATTGCTTGAGCCCAGGAATTTGAGACCAGCCTGGGCAACACAGTGAAACCTCGTTTGTTCAAAAAATAAAAAAATTAGCTAGGTATTGTGGCGCATGCCTTTAGGCCTAGCTACTCAGGAGGCTGAGGCAGAAGGATCACTTGAGCCCAGGAGGTCAAGGCTGCAGTGAGCCATGATTGCACTGCTGCACTTCAGTCTGGACAACAGAGTGAGACCCTGACTCAAAAAGTAAATAAAACATGGTTTTCTTTACTTCATTAGGATGAACAAAAGGTCAAAGTGATGGAGAAATGTTTATTCCTTACAGGTTTTCACAGACTCAGCATCATCAAATACAGTTCTTCCATATCAGAGACAACCTGCTTCATCGGTCCAACAGCCCTTCATTAATAAGGCCTCCAGCAGCGTTCTTCAATCCCGAAATGCTCCACTTTCATCCCTGCAAAATGGACCCAACGCTCCCAGCAAGGTAACCCAGTGATGATTGTGCAGCGGTAGCAATGCCGCGGAGGTATAAAATCATTCCACAGCCTAGAGCCTTGGGCTTAGAATGAATGAACATCAATATTGATGAAATGCAGTTGTTGAAAATGTGGCTGTGATAACTTGTTAGGGAAGAGCTTAGCTATGATTGCAGTGAAGAGGATTCATCCACACAAGGTGGCCCACCAGTGCTGTCAGTCTCATAGGTGCTTAAAGAACCTGCTTATGAGTTCCATGATTTGGCTACCACATGAAGAATAGCAGAGCTGAGTGTAGTCAACGCAGGAGAAAGCTTACTGCCAACAGCTAACATGTGCTCCTCCCTTGTTCTATACAGCCTAGTCCGTCCCCTCCACCCCAACAGTTTGTCGTCCAGCACTCTCTGTTTGGGAGTCCAGTCACCAAGACAAAAGACCCTCCCCGCTATGAAGACGCCATTAAGCAGACACGCAGTGCACAGGCCTCCCTCCCAGAGGTAAGTAAGGACAGAAGTCACAATCCATAAGGCTTATATTGGGATTATATTGGATGTGCTATCCTTAAATCTTGACTAGCCCTTTTCATTTTTTCTTAAGATGTGGGGTACAACTCAGGGTTAAGCACATAAGTGGTTATCATACAGGTAGAGTTTGGGCCTCACCTTGGTCCCCACTTTGCCTGGTTTGAGATTGGGTACCTTGTTGATGTTATGTGCCCCCACCCCCCACTCCCATTTTGGATTCAAAAATAGGAGTAGGCAAACCATGGGCTGTGAGCCAAATCCAGCCCACTGCCTGTTTGTGCACATAAAGTTTTATTGGCACACAGTCACACACACTTATCTGCATACCGTCTCTGGCTGCTTTTGTCCTGGCAGTCTCCCACTACTTCCAATCCCTTTCTTATAGTATTATGACAAATGTTTAGGGTCTGCTTATGAGTGAGTACATGCAGTACTCAGATCTGTTTCTGAGTATTATAGACTCTAAATGCTTCCAAGTTGCTACAAAGTCCATAATTTTGTTTTTCTTTATGGACTAGCCCTATCCTGAATTCCTTAACTAAGATTGACTCGCCTCAGACATACAAAAATTATGACTAAGAGCCTTGTATTTTACATGGTTATTTCAAATCAAACTGTAATTCATTATGAAAAATCCCAGCTTTCAGCAGCAGTATAACCTGTAGTTACTGCCTATTCAGAAATTTTGGGTTTATCTTTTAACTTTTCCCCTGAGGCAAGGGGATCATGTTAGGAACAGATAAGATTCTGACCAGGGCACATATTTTATAGTTTCTTTTTCTAAAGCCACCATTTTTCAGCCCAGCATCAAACATACACTCTTCTACTTGACTGACATTTGAGGCCGTCCAGCACCTGAATCTGCTTGGTCCTGCTTCATCTCTCTCCAGTCCTTGCCCCTCTGCCCCAACAGGAATGCCTGTGCAAGTGACTTTGCTTGCATTTTGAGCAAACACACTTGGAGGTGGTAGACCTGAGGTTCTCGTGGCTTCATCACACATAATACCCACCTGGTGGCTAGGTGGCCTTGGGTAAGGCATTTACCTCTCCAAGCTTTCCTTGTTTTACTAATAAAATAGGAGTAACTGCAGCCATGCCAAGCAGTGGGAAAAGTTAGGGTTCCTGTTAGTAAAAGCATATGGCCCATAGAGGGTGGCCACCATGACAGCACTTGTCATCCATTACCCTGACACTCCTCCTAGTCTCTCTGCCTCTCTAGAGCTTTCTGTCAAAGGTTAAAACTAAACTAACCTTCAGATAAGAACCCCAGTCTCACAGAGGATGCCAGGAATGGACCCCACACCACTCCATGGGTACTAAAAGTAGACAGCAAGACATACTTACATCCAAGCTAGACTGTTAACTATTCACAGCAAATGGCAGGAGCATCAGCATAATTGTGCCAGTTCTTCTTGCTACTGTGTCCTCTCAGATCCAAGGAACTGTATCAGTTTGGACCCCTTAACAAGGACATGCAGGGCCACAGTGGACTGCCTCTCAGAGGGAGTACACAGTTATCACGCTTCTTTGTATTCACTTAGTGCTGAGGAAAGATAACTTTGCTAGTTGTAAAATATTCCCTTGGTTTCAGACTTAGCAAGGGCCCTTATCTATGAGAGAAAAGTCAAATTTCAGAAATAGTTTACACATTTGCAATAGGAAATGAAATGAATGGTGCTGGACTAGACTGTCCTCCCCCATGGTCCATTCAGAGTGACATTTATTCTCTTAACAGGGGAGCAGAGATGAAATGAATTTCCAAGAGTTAAACACTGCAGTTGTTAAGAAAATAAAAAGGTAGCAGTCACCCTTCCACAGCTGGTTCTTATGTGTAGGTTAATAAATGCTGCTTACTTGATTTATGTAGCAACAATAAAGAAGAACTTCCCATTTTAACCTAAGAGAATTGATTGGATTCTCTGGCATTTGTATGTCTCTGAGTTCATGTTTATAGACTGAGAGAGCCAAGTTCTACGTCAGTTTTTGGTATTCAAATGAGTAGCTACTTGTAGTACCACCCTGTATGCCACTGAGCACCAAACTCAAGGAATTGTGAGGTTTTTTATTTTTTAAATGCATTTACAGACACCTAGTGGCTAAGAAAGACCCCACCAGGTCAATCATCACACAGATACCAGCAATAAATCTTGGACATAACACAAAAGAAATTATGTGAAGGCATTGAAGAGTAAACAAAAACAGTCATATTCTAGTGAGGAATCCACAACGTTAATCACATGATTTCCCTCTTTTTGCTACTTTTATTCTGGGGGCAAGCCAAGTGGTAGGGTTATTGTTGGAAAAAACCGTCATCTTTATGACCTGTGAAACCAGAAGACTGAGTGGAGAGTAACAAAGGGAAAGAGCCAGAAAAGAGATCCCCAAATTCTGTGTGCCCACATCTCTGGTTGACCCCTAAGCCATGCAGTCATGGAAAAGACTCACAGCAGCTCAGCTGAAGACTAAAGTTCTAAAGTGAGATTGGAACATCTACCCCAAGATACATTTTGAAGTAAAAGTCCAACCTAGTTCATAGCTTGCTAAAACAAAAGCTGTTCATCTGAGAATAATAACAGAATCCACAGTTTAACTTCCATAACATCCATTCATAACGTGCAAAATACAAAGAACCAGGAAAATGGAACTGTTCTCAAAGGAAAAAGGCAGTCAGCTGAGACCAGACGTTAGAGTTTGCAGACAAGGATTTTAAAGAAGCTATTATAACTGTCCTCAGTGCTGTCAAAGAAAATACGCTCCTAATAGATGAAAAGATGGGCGATCTAAACAGTTACAGAAATGAGTTTTTGAAAGAAGTAAATGGAAATTCTCGAACTAAAAAAATTCTGTATCTGAAATGAAAAAAAAATGGTAGGTAAACTTAGCAGAATGGAGATGGCATAGGAAAAAAGTCTGTGAACCTGAAAATAGATTAGAACTTATCCAATCTGAATAACATAGACGGGGAAAAATGATTGTTTAAAAAGTGAACAGATCCTCAGAGCCCTGTTATGTAATATCAAACAGTCTGGCCTAGGTAGAAAAAATGTCCCAGAATGGGAGGAGAGAAAGAATGGGGGAGGTAAATATTTGAAGAAATAATGGCTGAAATGTTCACAAATATGATGAAAGACAAATGTGTAGCTTTGAGATGCTTGATGAACACTAAGCTGGGTAAATAGAAGGCCTATTCACATCATGGTCAAATTGTTGAAAGACAAAGTTACAGGGAAACTCTTGAACACATTGAGAAAAAAGCAGTACATTATACCCAGGGCAAATAACTATTGGATTAAAATCAACTTTTCATCAAAACCTATGGAAACTGGAAAAGAATACAATAACATGTTTAAAATTTTCAGGGAGGAGGAGGTGGGAGGGATTATCAATGCAAAATTCTATACCAAGTGAACATATCCTTTAAGAATGAAAGTGCTTGTGGCCAGGCTCGGTGACTCAGCCTGTAATCCCAGTACTTTGGGAGGGCAAAGCAAGTGGATTGCCTGAGCATGTGGGTTCAAGACCAGCCCAGGCAACTTGGTGAGACCTCGTCTTTGCAATAAATAAAAAAATTAGCCAGATATGGTAGCTTGTACCTGTAGTTCCAGCTACTTGGAAGGCTGAGGTGGAAGGATCGCCAGAGCCCAGCAGGTCAACTCTGTGGTGGCCATGAGCGTGCCACAGCACTCCAGCCTGGGTGACAGAGTGAGACTCCAACTCAAAAAAAAAAAAGAATGAAAGTGCTAGGCGTGGTCGTTTCTGCCTGTAATCCCAGCACTTTGGGAGACAGAGATGAGAGGATTGCATGAACCCAGGGATTTGAGACCAGCCTGGGTAACTTGATGACACCTTGTTTCTACCATAAATTTAAAAAATTAGCCAGGCATGGTGGTGTACATATCTGTGGTTCCAGTTACTTGGAAGGCTGAGGCGGAAGGATCACCTGAGCCTAGCAGGTCAAGGCTGCGGTAGCCATGAGTGCACCACTGCACTCCAACCTGGATGACAAGGTGAGACTCTGGCTCAAAATAAATGGAAATAAAAATAAATAAATTAGCCAGGTGTGGTGGTGCACACCTTGTAGTCTTAGCTACTTGGGAGGCTGACACAGGAGGATTGCTTGAGCTTAGGACTTAGAGGCTGTGATGAGCCATGATCATACCACTGCACTCCAGTCTGGTCAACAGAGTGAGACCCTGACTCAAAAAAAAAAGTATCAAAGAGAACCAAAAATATTTTCAAATAAGAAAAATTGAGATAATTCATCACCAAAAATGACATTGTCTTGAGGGGTTTAAAACATGTAGATACAATACGTTAATTATTACAATAATTAATAAAGGACAGGAGAGGAAATAAATGGATTAATATGGTTGCAAGATCTCTGTTTTTTTTTTGTGCAGTGGTACAACATTGAGTTTAAGTAGCCTATGGAAAGTTAAGGATGTGTATTGCATATCTATAGCTATAATGAAGTAATACAATGAAGTATAGCTTTAAAAAATAGAAAAATTAAATTAGAATACAAAAAGATCTTTTTTTTTTTGAGTCAGGATCTCACACTACAGCCTCGACCTTCTGGGATGAAGCGATTCTTCAACCTCAGCCTTCCAAATAGCTGGGACTACAGATGCATACCACCACAGCTGGCTAATTTTTGATTTTTAAAAAAATTTTTGTAGAGATAAGGTCTTTTATGTTGCCCAGATTGATCTTGAACTTCTGAGTTGAAGTAATCCTTCTGCCTTGGCCTCCCAAAGTGCTGGGATTACAGGTGTGAGCCACTGCGCCCAGCCAGTATTTCATTTTGTTTTAAGACAAGAAAGAAGAACAGGATAACAAAAAAATAGGATGAATAGAAAACAAATAATAAAATAGCAAACCCAAATTTAACCATGTCCGTAATTATAATACTAGTAGAGTAAACAGTTCAACTAAAATGCAGAAATTATCAGAATGGATCCAAAGTCAGACTCATCTGTATCGTATACAGATGTGGTAATTTTAAGATATGTCTGCAGATTTTGTGACATTTCTTCCTGGCTCAAGCTTAGTGAATCACTTCCATTATAACAAATGGAATTAACAGAAGTGATAGTTGTGTGTCTAGTCATAAAAATCATGTCCTTCTGCCTCACCCTCCCATGTTCTGGGAAAGCCAGCTGTCATGCCACATTGACACTCCAGCAACCATCTGGAGAAGCTTGCATGTAGAAGCACTGAGGTCTCCCATAAACTGCCAGCACCAACCTGCCAGCCATGTGGATGCCCCGCCTTTACAAGGACATTCTCTAGCCACGCCTTGAGTTGACTGCAGCCTGATAAAGATCTTTTTAAAAATATATTGTATTTATTTTATTATTTTAAAGATGTGGGGTACAATCCAGGATTAGGTATACAAATGATCATTGTACAGCTAAAGTTTGGGCTTCTCTTTGGTCCCACTTCGCCTGGTATGAGATCAGGTATCCTTACTGATGTGTGCTCTCCTCCCCTGGCGTTTTCCCACTACTGCCAATCCCTTTCTTATAGTATTATGATAAATGTTCAGGGTCCTCAGATGAGTGTCGACCAACATCTTGACTATGGCCTTGTGAAAGGCTTCAAACCAGAACCACCCATCAAAACCATGACTAAATTCCTGACCCACAGAAAGTGGTATAATAAATTTTAAGCCACTAGTTTATTTAGAGTAATTTATAATGCAGCAGTATGTATCCACAAGAGACATACTTTAAATACAGAGACAGGTTGAAAGTAAATGGTCGGAAAAAAGATACACTGTGCAAACAGCAGAAGAAATCTGCAGTAGCCAAAAGATGTGAACAGACATTTCCCCAGAGAAGATAAACAGATGGTAAATGAATACATTAAAAGATGCTCAGCATCGTTAGTTACCAGGAAAAGTGCAAATTAAAACCACAATATGATACCACTACATCCCTAATGGAATTTCTGAAATTAAAAAGACTGACCATATGAAGTGTTGGTGAGAATGTAGAACTAAAAATGTTATACTGTTTACTGCTGGTGGGAATGTAAAGTGGGACAATCACTTTGGAAAAGTGTAACCATTTCTTAAAAAGTTAAATATACACCTTCCCTGTGATCCAGTCATCACACTCTTGGTATTTATCCAAGAGAAAAGAAAGCACATTTCTGTACAAGGACTTGTACATGAATGTTTACAGGAAATTTCTTTGCAATAACCAAAAACTAGAAACCCAAATGTCCATCAGTAAGTGAGTGAACAAACTGTCATATTTCCATACAATGGAATACTACTCAACAATAAAAAGGAATGACCTGTTCCTAAGGCATATACTACAACGGGGGGGCGGGGAAACCTCAAAATAATTATCTTGGGTGGAAGAAGCCAGTCTTGCCCCTTGCCCCTTCCCCTCAAAAAAGCATACACTGTATAAATCCTTTTATATGAAACTAGTTTATAGTGAAAGAAAGCAGATCAATAAGTTGCTTGGGGGTGAGGCCATGAGGAAACTTTAGGAGTGATAGAATGTTCATCATTTTACTTTGTTGATGGTTTCTTGGGTGTATACACATGTCAAAGTATCCAACTGCATGCTATACATAAATGCAGCTTAATTTATGTCAATAAAAGGTGAAACAGTGTACATAGTAGGATCACTTGTATCCATACAAATGTTTACCTAAACACAAACGAATAAAGACACTTTTTTTTTTTTTTTATGAAGTTGTGGGGTACAGTTAAGGGTTAGGTATACAATTGCGTTTCATTCAGGCACCCTGTTGATATGGGGTGTTTCCCCGTTCCCAGACAGATATTTGCTACTGTTAATCCCATCTCCCTCCCCCCACCATAGTTTCCCAGTACCGTCAGTCATTTTCATATAGTATTGCATTGGATGTTAAACCACACTGAGATACCACCTAACCCCAGTCAGAATGGCAATTATCAACAAGTCAAAAAATAACAGCTGCTGGAGAGGGTGTGGTGAAAAGGGAACACTTCTACACTGTTGGTGGGAGTGTAAACTAGTGCAACCTCTGTGGAAAGCAGTGTGGCGATTCCTAAAAGCTCTAAATACCAACCTCCCATATGACCCTGCAATCCCCCTACTGGGAATATATCATGAAGAACACAAATCACTCTATAAAAAAGATACCTGCACACGCATGTTTATCGCAGCGTTTTAAAGACACTTTTAAAATAAAAGACTCAGCCGGGCTTGGTGGCTCAACCTGTAATCCTAGCACTTTGGGAGGCCGAGGCAAGTGGATTGTCTGAGCCCACAGGTTTGAGACCTGCCCAGGCAACTTGGCGAGACCTCGTCTCTACAATAAATAAAAAACTAGCCCGGCGTGGTAGCGCACGCCTGTAGTTTCGGCTGCTTGGAAGGCTGAGGCGGAAGGATCACCGGAGCCCAGCAGGTCGAGGCTTTGGTGGTCATGAGCGTGCCACTGCATTCCAGTCTGGGTGACAGAGTGAGACTCCAACTCAAAAAATAATAAAAAATAAAAGACTAGTAAAGGCCTCTCACAATGCAGTTCAGCGCTAGAAAGTAGGAACGAGTAGGAGTCAGCCTAGCTTGTGTTAGCCCCATTCTGCTTGTTCCACTGACTAGCTGTCTACCTTGGGTAAATGGCTTAACTTCTCAGGTGACCCCAGTGTTTTAAAAATCATCAAATGATAGATTAGAACTAGGTGTTCTAGAAAATTCTTTAGTGCTCCCAAGTATTTAATGCCTCCAGGTTTGTACAAAAGAAAGCTAATTTTATTGTCCTTTGTTGTAGATTTCCAATGCACACAGTCAGCAGATGGACGACCTCTTTGATATCCTCATTAAGAGCGGAGGTAGGTCAAAAGTCATATCATATCCCCACAGAAAATCATCTCTTAACACAAGTACCTGAAAGTTTTTCTCTAGAGCTCATAGCTTATCTTTAGATACTGAGAAACATACTCTTCTAACTGAATTTACTGTTTTAAAATCTGTTAAATTTAGACCATTAAAACAACACTATAAATGGAAGAAAAGCCATCAATTCTGCTTAAAACAGTAATATAATGTTAGATTTTTACATAGATGCCTGTTGAAAAAAGCTATCTCCAAATAGCAAAGTAAAACCAGATTTAAATTCCATGTTGAAAAAAACTTCAAAACTTATTCAATGTGTAGCAGTCACAGTAATGAGATGATGAAAACATTCTGATACTGCATTAATTTTGTAACAACCAGTTACTTAGCATGGATTCTAGTAACTTTATTAAAGTCAAAGACATATTAAAGCACTTTCTGCACATAATATGAAATCTTAGATTTATAATATATTTTCTTAAAAAGGGACATTGACCACAGAAAAGTCAAGGACATCACTGTTGCTGCTTATGTTACTTTAAAAATGAGTATAGAATCAGTATTTTTAAAAATTCAAATACTATAAGGAATATTTTAAAGTATTCTCAAATTACCTTGATAAAAGGAGTTTTATTTGAATTTTTAACTAGTGATCAGACTTTCTCCTTTTATAGCAGGTACGGTTTGATATTGAAGTTGTTATTCTGGTCAGAATGTTTGACATAGAGAATTCTTGGCATTTGACTACAGATTTACATGTGATCTACATGTGTAAATAGTATTTTTTGCTTATAACTATATTTGCCTTGCAAGAGTAATTTAAGCTCATGGTATATCTAAACTATGGAATTTTTGAAAACAGACATTCTGTGCCCGGTTTTGAGATTTAAAAAATTTGTGCTAAATCTGATAAAGATAAAAGAACTTTTAAAATAATTAATAAGAATAATTTTTACAGTGTAAACTTGGAAATTAAAATGTGACAAAGTCGTTCCTGGGTTTCAGCACCAAACAAAAAAAAAAACAAAAAGCAAGAAATATGACAAAGTCAAATAATTTTGAGTTATTTTCTAAAAGAGATAATTTTCTTTTCTTATGACAAAATATCCAACAAGTATATTGTTTCATCTTATTGTGTACCAATTTCATGAGAACCAAATTTAAATAGTTGATTGAAAGACTAATTACAGCTGAACTCGGTGGCTTAGCCTGTAATCCCAGCACTTTGGGAGACCGAGGCAAGTGGATTGCCTGAGCCTGAGGGTTCGAGACCAGCCCAGGCAACTTGGCGAGACCTCATCTCTACAATAAATCAAAAATTAACCAGGCATGGTAGCGCGCACCTGTAGTTCCAGCTCCTTGGAAGGCCGAGGTGGAAGGATCGCCAGAGCCCAGCAGGTCAACCCTGTGGTGGCTGTAAGTGTAAACCACTGCTCTCCAGCCTAGGTAACAGAGTGAGACTCCAACTCAAAAAAAAGGACTAATTACTCAGATTGCACTAAAAGTTTTAAGACAATTCTAAAGATTGCTACAGATAATGAAAAGTAACATAAACCATCCAAAAATACATGCCGTACACACAGTTGGCAGATTATTTATGAGAATTAAATTGTAACTTCTTTCTTCCACCTAGTTACACTTCCCAGTCATTGAGCTTTAAGAACTATTGCTAATTAAATTAACTTTTTCTCATGCATCTCCGTATAGATGAAACCAATCATTTTCTCAAAATTAAAAAAGACACTTTTTTCAAATATATATAGTTAAGTGAACATTAGTATCTATACCAGATGGTCCATTAATTAGCTACTTGATCTGGCAAGAAATAATACATAATTGATGCTTATGACATTTACCAAATCTTCAAGGTTTTATGTAAACTCCGAAAACAAGACCAAAAGTGAGAGAAATAAGCTGGTGATCTACCTTATCTTAAGGGAAAAGGTCAAAGGAACCATATGTCAGCGTTAATTCAGAAATGAAATGTGATGGCATTGTGTCTTTTCAAAACTTTACACAGAATGCATATGACTAAGTTGGGCACACAGTCCAGCTTTGATCTTTTTTAAAAAAGAATATAAGCCAGGCCTCGGTGGCTCAGCCTGTAATGCCGCGCCTTGGGAGGCTGAGGTGAGTGAACTGCCTGAGCCCGCGGGTTCGAGACCCGCCTGGGCAACTTGGTGAGACCTCATCTCTACAACAAAACAAAAAAAATTAGCTGGGTGTGGTAGCACACGCCTGTAGTTCCAGCTACTTGGAAGGCTGAGGCGGAAGGATCACCGGAGCCCAGCAGGTTGAGGCTGCGGTGGCCGGGAGCAGCCACTGCACTCTAGTCTGGGCGACAGAGTGAGACTCCAACTCAAAAAAAAAAAAAAAAAAAAAAGAATATAATTAGATCTTGGATATTATTAGGAATATACTTCATGTCTGTACACAAACTCAAGATATACATTTCAACATTTATTTTAAGGGTATCATGGTGTTGTAATAGCAAATTCATGATATAGGATAAGAATGAACCCTGTCATAAAGCTTTACATGACTCAGATAAAGATAAAATAATCTAAGACCAATGATTCCTTTCTAGTAGGCTATAACTGCTCTTAATACTTAGTCTTACTGAAAATAATTGAAAACATATCAGAATGTAGTAAACTCATGTTTATCAATTTAACTAAAATGATCCATCATCCTAAAGGTAATCAAGGATTGTACCTGATCAATAGCATTCTCTTCCTACCTCTAAGATGGACGTGTGTCGAAGGAATCGCAAAATAGTAAAGTAACCGTCCTAGTAATTAATAACAATTTTTAAATAGCAGTAAATCTTTAGTTACTAATTACTTCATTTATTTTGCACAGAGATTTCCCTCCCTATAAAAGAAGAACCTTCTCCTATTTCCAAAATGAGACCAGTGACAGCCAGCATTACAACAATGCCAGTCAATACAGTAGTGTCCCGGCCACCACCCCAAGTCCAAATGGCACCACCTATATCCTTAGAACCTATGAGCAGTTTATCTGCCAGCTTAGAGAACCAACTAGAAGCTTTCTTGGATGGAACTTTACCTTCAGCCAACGAAATTGCTCCACTACAAAGCAGCAGTGAAGACAGAGAGCCTTTCTCTCTGATTGAGGACCTCCAGAATGATCTGCTGAGCCACTCAAGCGTGCTGGACCATTCTCACTCCCCCATGGAAACTTCTGAGGCCCAGTTTGCTGCAGGTACTCCCTGTCTGTCTCTTGACCTTTCAGACTCAAACTTGGACAACATGGAGTGGTTAGACATCACCATGCCCAACACCTCTTCAGGACTCACTCCTCTCAGCGTCACTGCACCAAGTATGTTCTCTGCTGACTTTCTAGACCCACAAGACCTACCATTGCCATGGGACTAACATCACAGATTTCTTGTCTCAGAATTCATGAGGTTTAAGAACATGAAGAAGATTCTAAAAGATCAGTTTTTAGAGATAGATCCATAGTTGCATTGCTGCAATTAAAATATGTTGTCAGAGAAAGAATGGATAAAAGGTCATAGCCTGGAACCCAAGTTTGAAAACATTTCATTGTATTTAGTAGTGAATTTCTACAGTTTAATATAGCACAGGGCCTTCTGAAAAACATACTAGTCAGAGAAGACTCTTTTTCTCTAGACTTCAGTAAGAAATAAAAACATAAAGAAAAGTAATGTATGCAGGAAAATGACATTAGGATTCTCTGGTAATCGACTACATTTAAACCTCCGTGGTCATTATAAGATCCTAAATAAAAGGCAGACAGCTCCACTTAAAAAATAAGGCCAATGTGTGAGGGAGGTAAGAGGTCACTGCACTCAGTACTTCCTAGGGATGGCCAGAGCCAGGCCCAAGACACAGCAAGGGTCAAAGGCAGTGGAGAACGCTGGTCAGTTCCATGACAGCTTCTAGCTGAAGACTTTTGCTTCTCTTCAGAAACCTGTGTAATTTTTTTGTGGTATAGTTTATTTTGTGATTTTGGGAATCTTACATTATATATGTAGATTTAAGTTTAAACAGAAGGTCTTTCACCATAACCAGAAGATGTCTACAAAATATTGTCATAAATGATACACTTTTAAAAGTCCAGGTATATTGATAGCACTGAAAGTTCTACTAGCACCCTCTGGGTTGATTAGATTGATTTAGTGTATATAATAGGTGTTTGTATGTATACTCTGACATTGTGATTTGTACAGCCTGCATTGGGGTAAGGAAATGGGTAGCCAGTGGTCCTACTTTTTTAAATAACTCGAATATTTCTAGAGTACTTGAGCCACATGTATTTCTGTATTTAAAAAATTGCTGACTAACTTTCAGGTAACCAGACCCATCTCAAAGAACCTAGAAAAGGCTTTAGCATGAAATACCTTTCTAAGCTGGTGAGTTAGAAGAATGGAAAGTAAGGGGAAGGTCTGTCACCTACCCAGGACATTCCCACAGCAAGTATAGGTCTGACTGTGCTGTGAGGTGGGCCACCAGGGCCCAGTTCTGGCTGTCTTTCTTCTGTCTTTCTTCCTGGTTATCATTTTACGGGCTTGTAACTGGATGTTCTCCCGGAGATCTTACTATATTGTTAAACATACGATTGAAAAACTGGAGGGTTTTTTTAGGTTTTTTAATATAGAGAAAAAAGTTATTACATATTTGTTAAGTAGTTTAAGAATTTTCTAAAATGCCAACTATCACAGGATTATTTCAAGCTAGTCATTTAAATATATGACAAAATATAAATAACTGAACAAAAAACTGAAATCTACCAAATGAGTGTGGAGGTTTTTATTAAATATCATTGTGCTCCTCACCTCACCCTTATGTAAACTCTAGGGTCAGGTTGATTCCCCTGGGTCATTAAATGGTTAGTGTTCATAGTGACATGCAAGAGGCAACCTGACTTGCTATTTGGAAAGGATTTGTGAAGTATTTCTTGGTTTTTGTTCTGCCTAAGAGCTGAGCTGATCTTATTTCAGATTTTTGTTTTTGTTTTTGTTTATAAATTTTACTACATGTAAGGCAAGTCTGTTTCATCCAGTGTTAGCACACTAGGGTGCTCTGCTCACTGGCACTTCCTGGACTCGAAGGCACTGACAGTGCTCTCGGGCCTTCTGAGTGGTTCACAGCCGGGCCACTGTGCCTGGTGTAGTCTACAGTGAATAGTCTCAGTGTTCAGAAATTGGTAAACCACACATGAGATATGAGAACTCTCTGTTAACCAGAACACCATCCTCCAACCAAGCCCAAAGAGAGCATACTGCACTAGGTGTGACGGGAATTCCCCATCAGTTCCATTGAGAGGGCCTGAATCCAGGGCTGGCCTATTTACTTGGGAAGGTGCTTTTCTTGTGGGAAGTCCTGGCTATGGTTTTTTGCTGAGGGTTGCTGTCCTGGGGTTTATCAGGTCCATACTTAGGCTCTGGGCATTTTCTTCACTCAGATTTGAATGGCTTCTTAAATTAGCACCAAATAACTTTGATATTTCCATAATCCTGAGCTGTGTACATAGATAGTTTTCTAGCCCTTGGGTCCCTTTATTGCTTTTTAAAATAGAGCTTGAATCATACCACAGGAAGGTTGCTCTCCAAAAATACACGGTGCAGTGCAAAGAATCCTATCTCATTAGCCTACTCTCTCTTGACTAAGAATTGCTAAAGTGCCCACTTCACATATGTATTCCAACCTTTATATACCAGTATTTCATTTTTGAAAAGTCAAGGAATCTCTAGCTATTAACTCTCCAACCCTTCCTGCTTATACCATTCCGCTTGGCCCTCCTCTCCTGGCTCAAGTAGCCGGCCAGACACTTGTGACATGAGTGCTGCTCCCCCAGGATCTCTACATGTCTCAGGTTAGAGTGAGGACATGTGTGTGCTCACATGCATGTGACATGACCAAAGACGATACTCTGTAAACAAGGCCCCTGACTCAGTGCACGTGATGGTAAGTGCAATGGGAAAGGGTATATGCTGACAAAAGGAAACTGGTTGTTGTTGGGTAAGGTTAGTTTCACAATCATCACAGCACAGGTCAAAACAGCCAGTTGAAATTTCAGTGTGCATGTGTATATTTTAGCAGTGGTACTGTTGTATATCATATTGCAGAATATCATATTGCCAAGAAGATAACTAACTCCTAGAGATACGTTATCTCACATCCCAGTCTTATTTCTCTACATATTCTTGAAACACAGCAGTATCAACCTTACTTTTCTATTGTATATAGATATTAGCTTATCTTATTGGGGAGTGGGATGAATAAAAAAAAGTTATACCAAAGCTTCTACAAAGTCTTTGGAAGTCTAGGGGTATGTGGTCATCTTGTACATTTCAGCAAAGCACCTACTGGGAAACCTCTTAGGACAATGTTAGCAGTTCACGGTCTAGTGTTTTCCTTGAAATGTGCAATCTACTGTATAGTATTTGCCACATGTTTGTACATAGATGTATTCTGAATTCATGGAGTTTCTTGCTTAGATACTATTTGTGTTTGTTGCATGTGTATATTTTTGTATACTAAAGAGATCTTATTTAAATTTCCTTTTTAAAAACTGCATGGTTCTGTGGTCCATGTAACAGACACTCTTGCTTGGATGTGCTATTTAGGAATAGTGGCAAAGGCAATCTGCTGCTGCCTCCAAACTGCTGCCTGTGGAAGGCAACGTCATGGTAATAAGATAGCGCCGCTAAACGGTGTAGTCAGCGGACACTGAGGGATGTTTCAGGAGCGCATAACCCACTTTGTCACCAAAGCTGACTCAGGCTTCCTCTACTCTCAACCTCAGATCATTCCAGGCAGCATAGTTTTCTTCAGAGTTCTTTGAGAGTTCCCAGTCTGAAACCAGCCGCGGCAGCTGACAAAATAGCTGCTCCCACAAGTGATGGGACGGTCCCTTTACTGTCCGCAAGTGGATTTGGCCTTAAAAAAGCGGTAAAGCACTTGGCACGGCTGAAAATATTTGCATCCTCCCACCACTTTCATAGGCTCGCAGGGTGGCTAGCCTCGCAGAAGCACTGGCTGTCAGTTAGGTGGGGGACTCATGGCACTGCTAGGGATTTTTTTTAGAGAAAGTTAAAGAGAACAGCTATTCAGTGTCTGCCAGCAGAACAACGCATGTCAGTTTAACCAGATTCACAACTCTGTTTTTCACTACCCATTACTGCAAATACAAACGTTGGATACTGGCAACAGAGAATACCTGTACAAATGGTCACATTGCCCTCGAGATAACAAAATTAGCCCCAAATTATCAAAGAACAGTCAACTGGAAGGTGGTCAGGGTTATCAAGGGACATAGCTTAAGAGTGCATTGAATGTGTATTTGGAGAGCATCCTAACTGCATTTCAGCTCATCTTTTAAGAGATTCAGTCAAAACTGGAAAATAACAATTAAGATGTAGTAATTTTTTTTCCTGGTTCAAAAACTTGCTCACTCAACAGTCATTCTGGGCTACATTTTTCTTTGTAAAGTTACTCTCTCTGCATAGCAATCAGCAGGTCCATGTTTTTTTCTGCATTCACCCTTTTTTGCAGTCTCCAAGGCAACACATCATTGCAGAAGATTTCTACCCAAAATCTTTCATTGAAGGCCTGTAATTCAAAAAGCTGCACATGTTTACAGAAGAGCTGTTATCCTCCATGCAAACATTGCTCTGTGAATCATTTTTGGAAACTGTCACAGTTTTGTGACAATATGATGGCAATCTCAGATCTACAAGGTGCTGTCTGGAATCAGAATATGTTATCAGAGATATCAACACAGCTATAGTGTTTAACAGAGCTTTATGCCAACTACTAAGAAAAAGCTTTAACAAAGTTTATAGAATCACTGAAACTCCTAACAATTACCTCTCTACATTATGCTGTAAGGAATCTTGCTAATTTGGTAGGAAAAGGAAGCATTTAGGAAAGGGTTTAGTAGCTACCAAAAGTACTTGACCTCAAGTAACCAATAGTAATGCAAACTTCCTTTAAAGGAACCAAAGGCATTGCCAAGTATTTGCCAAAAGGAGGCACTTTTTATTTAAAATTTCAGACTAATGAAATCTCAAAAATCAGTCCCAAATAGGTATTATCCATCTAAGGTTATAATTTTCACAAAGATGTAGATATTTCTCGATTGTTTTCATGTAAAATAGTATAGAATTGTTTTATTGGTTTAAGATAATACATATTTAGTAGTAATACAAAGTTTTTTTCTTTCAATGTAGAAATTGGTTTTCTTCTTTTCTTGCTTGCAATAGAAATGCAATGTGATAGGTGTTTCTCTTCTTATTTTCATTGTCACATTATGTCTTAGCATCTCACTTTATGGAAAAAAAAAAAAAAGGAGAAAGATACCAATCTACAGAGACCTGGTTGTTGAAGCACTAGTTTAATAAACAAAAATTATGGCAATCAGGGGTCTATTCATGTATTGCCTTTATGTTGTTTTTTAAAAGAGAAACCATGATGCCTTTGTATTTGCTGTTTGCACCCCTGAAATCAATTCCATATCATGTTTGAATGCCATACATTTTGCACATGTACTGTACATAGGTAATGCATACTGTATTTTTATATGTGTGCGCATTTATCATCAGATCTTTTGTACATAGTGGCAGTATCGTAGCTGATCGGGAAATGTTTGATATCTCCGCAATTTTGCATTTTGTGTCTCAAATAAAAAAACATTTTGATGTACTATGGTTCTTGCTATGCAGAGGAAAGACCTCACCCTATGGGTTAGTCACGCCATTGTAGACCTGTGGAATGGGGCCAGATCTGGGAGGAGATGCTACCTTTAAAACACACCGCACAACAGAAGGCCACTGGGCAAAGCATGTGAACTCATCAAGGTGGGTTTTGAGTACACATAAGTGAGTTTCCCTCTCCCTGGTCCAGGACCATAAGATACAAAATAGAAACTCACAGGTACCAGCTGAACTTGATTATGTCAAGATTTACACCAAAGTCATGTTCTTTCTTCTACAATCAAGAGGAAACATTGAATGAATAAAATTAGATAATATGCAGTTCTCCCTAGAGGGTTAATTGATGTGCACACACAATGAAAACTGACTCACTGTGATAGTAAGAAGTATACTATCAATAAAACTCTGGAAAACCTCAACTAATCTGTCAATGTAGCCAAGTTTCAAAAGCAACTATTTATATGAGGTGTTTTTATAGACCTTACAAAATGGTCTTTTGAATTCGGTATTATTTTAAGTAAGGTGCCACTTAATTTCAACCCAAAAGCTGATAATTAAAATAGAGTTTTGTGGAGAACGGTATTATATTTTTCTCCTTGCTTTGAAGAAACAAAATGGTAACTTTTATGTCAATATTTGATTAAGAAAATAGAGTATAACCACAGAAAGGGGGAAAGAAAGATAACTGCTTACCTATACACAGCAAAACATTTGTTATCTGTCATACTTAGAGAGTGAGAGAGCAGCCTCAGAAGATCAGGACGTGGATGATGTCTCAAAACATCTAAGACATTAGTGAGGTAGTATATGTTACCAAACAGATCCTGCCATCAGGGAGCAAATAGACCAAACTATTCATGTGAGAGAAAATGATGCTGAAGGGAGCACAGACCGCATCCCAGGAGTTCAGAGGAGCCAGCAAGGGATGCTGGGGTTCTAGGGAAGGTATCATGGAGGAAAGCCCCTGGAGCAAGGTCGGAGTTAATTGGAAACCTTTTTTTTTTCCCCCTGCAACACATTTTTCTGAGCATGGATTTTTGAGAGAAAGAAAACATGGGGCAGAGAAGTATGAAATAGAAAGTAAGTACAAATGTAAGCTGTTTGGCTAATCATTTTAAAACCACAACAGATTAGTACAGAGAATGCCCTGTACAAAACACAAAGATCCAGGCGTTCCCTCAGCAAAGTTGAAAATTTCAGCCTGTGGTATTTACAATTTAGGCTGCAGTCATGGTGTTTGAATGACTAGGTGAGTGGCACAGTCCAGGCTTTTAACTAGATTTGAACAGAGCAGCCACTGGACCCAGGTAGAAGTAGAAGTATTTGGTTTCATGTGTCACATAACTACCAAAGCTCCTCCCCACAATGCAGTGCCAGGTGGTATTGTATTTCTTGTCTAACTCCTTGATATGGACTGCAATACCCTTTTCTATGCTGTCTTCCTCCAATGCCTGGACAGCACATCCCACTGAGTCCTGTTCTATCTCTTCCAACATGTCTACATCTTTTATCATGGCCTTTGAGTCATGCGTGGTTACTGTGAAGCAGGGGCTGGCAGGCTGCAGTGTGTCCTGGAGGAAGTGCAAGCAAGACTCAGGTCCCATGGGGGCTGCTGTGGCTGCTGAAGCTATGGTGCATCTAAATGATTGGAGACATTTTGACGGAGTTCCTACTATGTGCTAGGCAGCAGGCTTAATGCAGGACAGTCACTGGAGGAAATACCAAGAGACTCAGCCCAGGAAAGTAGGGGACAGCTGGTCATTCAAAGATCCCCAGTCTTTGAAGGGCTTTAGAATCTTCTGTAGATATTTGTTTTCTCTGGGTAATACAGAGCCTTGGAAAGCTATTTAGATATTGGACAAAGTCACCATTGAAGACTGGGCGTGGTGACTCAAACCTATAATCCCAACACTTTAGGAGGCCAAGGTGAGAGGATTGCCTGAGCCCAAGAACAACCTGGGCAACTTGGCAAGACCTCATCTCTACAATAAATCAAAAAATTAACCGGGCATGGTAGCACATGCCTGTAGCTCTGCTCCTTAGAAGACTGAGGCAGAAGGATCATCTGAGCCCAGCAGCTTGATGCTGGGGTGGCCGTGAGCGTGCCACTGCACTCCAGCCTGGGCGACGGAATGAGACTCCCAACTCAAAAAAAAAAAAAAGGGTCACCATTAGCATCTTTATAATCCTCTACAGCAAGTCAAGGTGAATACCAAAGCATTTGTAAATACAAACACATAGTAAAGACTGCAGATGAATGATGCCTAGTCCACATTACAACAAAACACCAGCATTAAACTAACAGAAGACTGTCTTCAGGACAGATGTACGTGACCAGTCAATTTTATGTGCTCACATAATCCTCTTGAAGATTCCCCACACTACACAAATACCACTTCCTCACCCCCACCAGATAGCTGCTTCTAATTCTGATGGATATGACTCCTAATTTAACTTTCAGAAAGAAACCTCATCTTGATATGCTGTCTTTTCTGTTACTTTTTAATGACAAGTTAATTAAGCCCATGTTGAGTAATTAGGCAAGAAACAAGGATGCTCATCAACTTTTTGAATGCCCCTTTTGTTGGGTACAACTATGTCACAGATGATTGCACTGGGAATTCTGTGGATGACACCCCTGCGGTGTACACTGCTGCATGCCAAAAGCACGTCAGAAACATCCAAAGTCCAAGGGATCCAAGTGCAAAAAGATCCACTGTCCAGTCCAAAACTGAAGTTTGACTGATGGTGAGGAAGGGTTTTCAGGCAGGTAGTAGTTAAGAATTTAAAGTGTTTCCCATCAGAGATTCAAATAAAGACCTTTGAGAGCTTTGATGTGTTCTCTCACCCATAGCTGAATAAACCCCCAAAGCACATCAAGCAGAATGGCAAACTAACCTATGGGGCACACGAAGTTTTGTTACAGTATTACTTTAAGCACTAGAAAAGTTCTGCAAATCTGCTTAAACAAGTAGCCTGTTTTCTGTTAAGCAACATGGAAAGTTGACCAAGACATCAAATTCCCTAGAGATACAGAAACTACAATAGACAAAAAAAAAAAAAAGTGCTATGATACCAAATGCTATGTAACCCTTTTCCCTAGTCCTCTTGTACAGTGCCAGCAAATAGAAATGTGGTTGAGGACAGGTGCAGCAGCAAACATGTATTAAGTGTTGCTATATGCCAGGCCCTGTGCAAATATTTTGTATGTATAACCTCATTTAAACATGTCTATGAAGTGAGAATTCTTATAATCCCCATTTTACAGATTAGAGCAACTAAGGAAAGATGGTAAATGACTTGCCTGAAATCACAAAGCATAATTTAAAACCAAGCTTCTGAAACCCCAGAACACAGACCATTTGTCTGAGTCTGTTCGGGCTGCTATAACAAAATACCTTAGACTGGGCAATTTATAAACAACAGAAATGTATTGCTTACAGTTCTGGAAATGGAAAGATCAAGGTGCCAGCAGATTCAGCATCTGATAAGGTCTCGACCTCTGCTTTCAGGATGGTACCTTATCACTGCGTCCTCACATGGAGGGAAGGACAGAAGGGCAAAGGACCATACAGACTCCCTCAAGCCCTTTTATAAGGGTACTAATCCTATGTATGAAGGCAGAGCCCTCATGACCTAGTCATCTCCTAAAGGCCCCACCTCTTCATACACATTATATTGGGGTTAAGTTTCAACATGAATTTTAGACACGAATATTCAGTCCATAGCAGCATTCCTGTTGACTCAGTGCATACAACTCTCTGTCTTTGTTCAGATACTTTGTGAATACAATTGTAGCTTGCTTAATTCATGTCTTCCAAGATGTTGCATCAGCCATCTTAAGGAGACTTGAGAGAGACAAAAATGTAATCAATCTCAAACACTTTCCAAAGTAGGTACTCACACAGATGGTTAATTGCTAATGTATGGCTCTTGCTAGGATAACTTCAGCCAGAACCTGGGTTCCAAGACTAGGCATCTTAAGTGATCCCCACTGACTGGGTCACGTAAAATGACTTGTTATGCAACACTCCATGCTCATGTTGGGACTTGTGTAGCCACTTGAGCACATACAAAAGTTCAAGAGTGATAAAGTAGTTTTTAAGTGACTAGCATTTCAACTTTTTGGTATGTACCTTGAGATGTACACAAGAAATCATGTATGAGAATGAACACCAAAGCATTGTTACAAAGCAAATATTGCAGGCAACCCCTATGCCTTCCAATAGGAGAACCATTAAACAGCAATTCACATGAATGAACTAAATCTAATGTGTCAATGTAAAAGAATCTTAAAATCTGAGGGGAAAGTACAGAATGAAGCCAACATAATTCGAGTAACATTTTAAAACAACACTGTGTATTTTTTCTATATGTCAAGATATAAAAACATGGGTGGTGAGTCACGACTCACATCAGTTTCAAGATTCCAGAGACTTTGAGAGGCCAAGGTGAGAGGATTGCTTAAGCCTAGGAGTTCAAGACCAGCCTAGGCAACACTGCAAGACCTGGTCTCTATAAAAATATAGAGAAATAGTCAAAACAATCTTGAAAAAAGAACAAAGTTAGAGGACTCCCATTCCTCAATTTCAAAGCTTACCGCAAAGCTATAGTAAACGAAGCATGGTGCTGGCATAAGAATAGACATATAGATCAGCACAATAGGATTGAGGATCATATTTATGATCACCTGATTTTTAACAAGTGCAAAAACATTTCAATGGGGGAAATAATTGTGTTTTCAACTAACAGTACTGAGATAACTGGATATCCACATGCAGAAGAATGAATTTGGACACCCTACCTCCTACCATATTTTTTTTTAAATTAAAATAGAACAAACTAAAAAGAAAATCCTAAAACTATAAAACTTGTAGAAAACAACAGAGAATCTTTACTAGCTTAGGTTAGGCAAAACCTTAAACATGATAACAAAAGCATATGTGTGGCCAGGTGTGGTGGTTTATGCCTGTAATCCCAGCACTTTGGG